CGACGATTATAATCTGCAGAGACTTGGTCAATAATGAAGTATAACTCCAAGATGAAGCTGGAAATCTCTGGAGAAACAACAAGAAAATCGACTGCACCCAAGACAGCCCCCAAACAAGACTGGGCAGTAGGATCCCCCTCCAAAGCCTTCATTAGATCCCTCTTGAAGAACTGAGCCTTGACTTTCTTCAAGACCTCATCGAGAGGAGAAGTCGAAGTAGACTTCCCTGATGCAGTAGAAGCATCATGGCTAGGGTCAGATGAATTTTCCCTGCTCTCGATGATGGCATTCAGGTAGCCAATTCGATCGTTTTGCTTCAAGAGGGCCAAGTCCTCTTTAGACCTGGGCTTTGTTGAGGTAACCGTTTCTACAGCAATGTGGGTTTGGGGCTGAGCATTTCCAGCAGCGTCAGCGTCAACATGACCCTCTTCATCATGTTGCTCTTCTGTCTCATTGACCACTTGAGCTTCCTCCTGGTGATGCGTCTCAGGGGCACCCTCTGTTTCAGCAAGAACTTCATCATCCACCAGTTCCTCCTCTCGTTGTCTGTTGTGGTCAGCAGAATCTTGTGGCTCCGAAGTTTGATTCACTTCGTTAGCAGAATTGACGAAAGAAGAAGGATGGTAAGTGGGTTCCCCTGCGTTATTTACAAAGGTATCAGAACCTTCGACAGGATGCCCAGTTGGCGCTGAAGTTCCAGCTGTTTCCTGCAAATAGAAAAGAAAAATATTCTGATTAGAGAGATGCACAATCAAAGGTGATCATCGACAGCTAAGTTAAAAGTGGTCGAAGGCACTACCTGTAAAGGAACCTCAGCCCCAGGTCTAGAGTTGTCACTCTCAACGGGTTTGCTGAGCAAGACATTTAGCTCCTCCTCCGTGGGTTCTTCGATGATCACAGGAGGTGGCCTGGGTTTTTTCCCTGTGACTTTAGTTCTAATCACAGGTCGAGGCTCAGGAGCAGGGGCAGCCTTCTTCAGCTTTCTCCGTTTTAGAGGAACAGGAGGAGATTCCTCCTCGTCGCCACTCGAAGATTCGACCGTTAATATAGGTCGCTTCTTAGGCACAAGTTCCTGAAAGTCCCAAATAGAGTCGATTTAAAACACAACATCGGGAACAAGAATGTTTAAAACCAAAGCAGGAAACAAGAGAAATTTTTGTTACCTGTGCTAGAGGTTTTGTAGAGGGACCTCCACCCTGATGGCTGTCTGTGGCCTTCTTAGCCATAGGTTTTCGAACAAATGAAATAAAAAACGTTCACAAGTTATAATTGACAGATGTAGGTCGAAATGGAAAGACAAATACAGTTTGAAGAGGGAATGTACATTTCTTTATTTTGTCGAGAACCAAGACAAAGGACTTCTGGAGTTCGTCTGCAAAATCCTTTTCGTCGAAGAACTCTTCGACGTAATATCTCTTCCACCAGTCTTCAAAAGATGGTGAATAGAGGAAGTTGAGTTGGTAGTCGAACAATGATAGTACAGTCCGACCAACGTACCTACTAATATGCTTAGTAGCGACATCCTCAGAGTAGTCATTACAAAAGTACAACAACGATTTCTCCCGAGGATAAATTGGAGAAGGAAGCGATTGGATAATGCCAAACTGTTGAGAGACAAGATTCGGCTGGTAAGCAATCAGGCTCAGCTGATTCTTTAAACTTTTGAAGCGCAATGGCATTATCCTTGGAGTGAGAAACGCTTCCCATATTGTTGTATGCTCTTCAAGGTGAGGATCCTCTGATGATTTAGGATGGGGCCTGGTAAACCACCCTGGACCAAACTTTCGACCGGCGAAAGGGGCCATGGTCGAGGTAAATTCCTTCCTCCCTGCAAACATCTGAACGAAGTTTGCAAAGGTCTTTTGTAGTTCCAGCCCATCTTCAGTAGGAGTTAATAAGGCAAGCCTGGTGCCTTCGACGCGCCTTCTGGCTATCTCAGGAGCCTTTTCATTTATTTGAGTCTTCTGGGGTAGAAATGACTCAAAAGTGGCATTTAGCCAGAGCTAAAGTAGCCAGAAGGGACCAGCAAGCAGCAAGTTGGCTATATTTTCTATTATTTTTAATTGAGCCGCTCCACTGCTTATCGACTCATACAAGTTTGCCAGTATTAATTCGGCCAAACAGATGTTTTGGCCGTGATGAAGCTGAGTAGCGAGGGTGACCATTTTCTTCGTCACCTGTAGGGATTTCGTGCAGAACACGAAGCGCGACATCCAAAGGGCTAGAAACGCGATGTGCTCCACATCAGTTACCACAGCCGTCGATTTGTCATGGTAATGGTTGGTGTAGGTGGTATAAGTGGGTTTGGTAGCAGAAAACCCAATCTGGTCTTCAGACATTTCCTCTGGGTCGAAGTAGTCCCCAGTTGGTCGAAGACCAGTAATAGCGGCCACGTCGAAGAGAGTGGGCGTTACCATTCCACAAGGCAAGTGGAAGGTATAGTGAGTATAGTCCCAAAACAGCAAAGAAGCTACCAGCATTTCAGGACAGTAGTTAAGACCAGTTTTGGACAGCATGACTAGGTCATAAATCCCCATGCCTTTCCAAATCGAAGCCTGACACTTCTCCATCTTGTTGAGCCAAGCGTTGTATTCTGGTGTAAGGTTAGGGCTAGACCTAAAAGCCCTAACCCCCCTGTTAAAGAACCGAAGATCTATTTTCTCTTTTGCAGGATCTTCGGTATCATCTGTCGCCTTCTTTGAGCACCCAATGGGTTTGAGTGCCTCATGCACGGGGAAGAAACCCTTGATTTTCGTTGGGTCAGCAATGCATGTTGAAAGAGGACCTGACATGGCAAAAACCTGGTTGGAATACCCAACAGGAATCAATAGTTGAGAACCATAAGTTTCACGCTCAGCGTCTCCCATGGGTTCAGGAACCCTTCGCATTCCCATGGAGTTAACTATCAGAGCGGTTGAGAAGATTTTCGGTTGAGTAGTTTTAGAGGGAGTGCTAGATCTGGGGACATTGGAAGCACGAGTACGGGAAGCCATTTTTTTGGGTTTGAGATGAAGATGGATGAAGATGAAGAACAAAGATTACTGGGTTTGGAGAGGAAGAAGCAAAGGTTTACTTGCAGAAAATTTCGTTCGACTGAAGATTTGGATGCAAGAAAGCGTAAAGAGTCCAACAGAGGCACTTAGTGCTATTTATAGTGATTGAAAAATCACAAGGCTCGAGGTCATTTAATGCCACAGACAAGAGTGGGGCACGTGGCACTCATTTGGTGCTGTAACCGTTCTGAAGAATGGAAACGGTGCAGTGTGCGTCCTCGATTTCGGGAAATAGTCATGATGACAGCATTTGAAAGGACATTGTGCGTGCAAAAATGCCTTACTGAAGTGACGTCTTGGGAAAAGGTGAAATGATGACTTTTTGAGATTGTCAGTTGGTTGGTAGGAGACGAAAAGCACACAAACTAATTTGTGGCTGAGAATGAAGGACAAGTGTCGAATGGAATCTCAAAGAATGCCTTTTTCTTTTCAGCGTCGAAATAAGACATTCTTGGGGGGCAATTTATTGGCTCCTAAATTCGACACCCATGTTTATTATCATATAGACCATTAATTATGAGTCAGAAGTGTTTCCTACATAAGAAAGCTTCGACCAACTGACCATGTCGAAGGCTCATCAAAGAATGACAAGATACTTAGAGAAATTCCTTTAAGTTGAAATCTTGTTGTCTTCGACGTCGAAGGAACCTCTCGACAAAGGTCCCTGATGCCCAAGGTCGAACGGTTTGAGATTTGAATTGTTGGAGGGAAAACGGTTCCCAGCGGTTACCAAGTGCAACGTGTCGAGAACATAGGCGTCGAAGATTGTGAGCGTGCCATGTGGCATCATCTCGAAGCAGTGTAACTGCCCAACGGTTACTTAGGATTTTTCTTAGTATAAATACTAAGTTTTTATGTAGTTATTAGTGTGTTCATCATTTTATACAAGTCACTCATTTAGATTCAAGTACCCAGCGTGAGAGAAAGAATCATTGAGAATGTATGTGTGAAACACCATTTAAATTAATCAAAGTGTTTTATATTCAAGCAATTTACCATTGTTCATTTATTTACCTCCGTCGAAGCCTTTTATTTAACAATTCTTTAACGCTTTTATTTATTCTATCAAGCTTTTCTCCATGCAATTTACTTAAAGTGTATTTACTTTAATGGCATTAATCACCATTAGGATTAGTCAAACTACAAAAATCAACCATGTCTTAGGATCAATCTGATCGATCCTGCGAGTCACCAAATAAATAACCTTTTGGAAGATCAGCAGTTGTTTACTAATTTTCAGGGTAAACAATATCCCACAATAATCTATCCCTAAAAAGTATGGTTGATCCAAAACAATAATTAATTTTTTTAATCAATATAATACTAATTATTTTTATTTATAATAATTTTCAATGATATGTTTCTTTCAAATTATGCAACAACATTCTTTAAAATCATATTTCCAAAAATATTATTTGGATGAATAATATTTCTATCTACTTGCTTGGCTAAAAATAAAATTTTAAAAAAATATTTACAAATTTTATTTAATTTAAAAATTATAAAAAATAATAATAATGTTAAAATATTAGAATGTGTAACAATACTGTTGAAAATAAAAAATAGTTAGAAAAATATTTTGAAGATTTAAAACACACATAAAGTTGTTGCATTTTAGATGGTTAAAAGAAACACACCCGGATGTTTGAAGAGCATAAAAACCATTTTGTAAATCAAACGACAATTAAGATTGTCGCAAGTCGGCCAAAAATGCTTCTTTCTAACAGTTTTGTCTTCACCCGACTCTTATTCTTTCTAATGAGCCGTCCCTATCTATTTTTCTCAGTTATTTTATCCGTACCACATATATTCTACCCACAAACTAATAAAACATTTAGGTTCACCTCATTTTCACCAACAACCTTAAATTCAAGTCATGCTTAGTTACTAGTTATCTCTAGTTATAAGACAACAATTTTTATGATCCTAACGTCCCAAGTTCTTACCATGAAAACCCTCTCTCTTCCGCCGTTGTTTGCTCCTACTCCTAGGTACATCTTCTTTTTCAATTCTCTACTTTCATCAAATTACTGGAGACTCTCTTATTCCATTTCTTCATATTTATGATTACCAGAGCTTTTGGAAACGGTTTAACCTTAACCACGAAGTGTTTTCCCAAGCAACTTCATTTCAATTCTCCATGTCTTGTTTTCTCTACACACTCGTAAACACTCTATATCTTTCTCTTCACTTTTTTTATTTTCTTAACAATAATGATACTTTTCCATTTGGTTTATGTGGTTTTTGTTTTGTGTTGTGAAGGACTTCTGCAACTCTATCTGTGGAATCACAAGTAGAAACGAAGCAAGTATTTGATGGAGACAAGGCTTCTTTGCTTGTTAGTGAGCTTAGAAAGAATTTTGATTCAGGTAAGACTAAGAGTTATGAATGGCGGATTTCGCAATTGGAGTCCATAGCTAACATGTTAGTTGAGAAAGAGGAACAAATTATTGATGCTCTTGTTAAGGACCTTTCTAAACCTAGAAATGAAGCATATATAACTGAGGTATATTCAATCAATTTTGATATATCTTTCAACTTGTATGCTAATCATCTTAGCCTTACCATCATTTTAAATGCAGATATTCCAGGTGAAATCTTCATGTAATGAAACACTTCAAGAACTCAAGCACTGGATGAAGCCTGAAAAGGTAATAGCAAAGAATAAGAATGATTGTGACTCAACTTGGCTCTATTTGTAATACATTTTCTTTTCCTCCGTCTTTTAGGTCAGCACTTCAATCACAACATTTCCATCATCAGCAGAGATTGTTTCAGAACCATTAGGAGTTGTGTTGATCATATCGACATGGAACTTTCCTTTCTGTATGTGTACAAGATGTTCATCTTTCGTGCGATCCACATCGATCTTCATCTCAGTCACTGTTATCTAGCATGTTTTGTTTAATGTCCCAAATCTTAGTTTGCTCCCTTCTAATTGACGTTTGACTGCTGTGAATCAAAATTGATTTTATCTCTAACGATTTTAATGATTTTTCGTCTATTCTCAGTTGCTGGGAATGCTTATGCTATTCTAATTTATTGACTTTCCATCTTCTCTGTATCATTTCCTTGGCGTTGATAAAGATTTTATCTCCTACCTTCAGCATTATCATTGGATCCGATCATTGGAGCCATTGCAGCAGGCAACACAGTGGTTTTGAAACCATCCGAAATTTCTCCTGCAGTATCATCCCTGCTTGCAAATTTGCTAGCAACTTATCTAGATAATTCTGCAGTAAGAGTTGTTGAAGGTGCTGTTCCTGAAACAACTGCACTCTTGGAACAGAAGTGGGATAAGATACTTTATACAGGTAATTTTTCCAATACCGTATGAAATCATTGCCATTAGTGACTTTTCACTGATTGGAAACTTTAAATTTATAATAAAAAGTCGCACACGTTTTTGGTCTAATTAGCATGACAACTTCGCCATAGGGTTTTATGCACAGTAGACGAATTTTACTCAGGTAGTGCTCGAGTAGGTCGCATTGTTATGGCTGCAGCTGCAAAGCATCTTACTCCAGTGATTCTGGAGCTTGGAGGAAAATGTCCGGCTGTTGTTGATTCAAATATCAACTTACAAGTAACATAATCTCTTGAGCTTATTATTTACACTTCCAAAATAACATATTTTCATCTATTATATAATCATTTATTTAAAATTTCAGGTCACTGCTAGGAGGATAATAGCTGGCAAATGGGCATGCAATAGTGGACAAGCATGCATTTCTGTTGATTATATCATCACAAGAAAAGACTTTGCTCCAACACTTGTAAGTTGGCTCAGCCACACAAAATTCAGTGCGCTGTTGCAATGTATTAGTCTTTGATATATTACCGTTAAACAGATAACTGCTTTAAAAGAAGAGTTAGAGCAATTTTTCGGGAAAGATCCGATAGAATCGAAAGACATGTCTCGTATTGTGTCTCCAACCCAATTCGCACGACTTGTGAGACTCTTGGATGATGATAAGGCATCTGATAAAATTGTTTTAGGAGGTCAGAGAGATGAGAAGAAATTGTGAGTTAGCATTCCCCATCTTGGTTGTTAAGATTGGAATTAATCATTTGTAACAATACCATAACATCAATTTCCTCTACATATTGCAGAAAGATTGCTCCAACTATCTTATTAGATGTTCCAGAAGAAGCTATGGTTATGCAAGAGGAGATATTTGGGCCAATATTACCAATTATCACTGTTAGTAATAAATCATAATGGAAAGTGCATGTTATGTTTCTTATATTTCGGATAAATCGAAGCCTTTTTATCTTTTCCTCACATTTTTGCAGGTAGACAACATAGAAGATAGTTTCAGTATAATAAAATCAAGGCCAAAACCTCTCGCAGCATATCTCTTCACAAACAATGAGCAGCTGAAGAAGGATTATGTTGATAAGATATCTTCTGGAGGAATGCTCATCAACGACGCTGTTGTGCATGTAGTTACTCTCTTTCTGAAATTTATAGTATTTTATGAAGGATAGACACTGAACACTACATTGACACATTGACATTGGTAATTATTTGAGAAAAATAGTTATTGAATGTTAAGATATCAAATGTGTCGATGTTCGACATTGACATGTGTTGGCCACGAGACACATCGCCAATCTGTAGTGTTAGTGCTACATAGTAAACTGCTCTCATTCATGTGTGACTCTCTCAGATGGGAGATATAGACATGCCTGATGACATTAGGCTGACTAGTACAACAATGTCGGTGCAGGTTGCAACTCGTGGATTGCCTTTTGGAGGAGTTGGAGAGAGTGGAATGGGCGCTTACCATGGAAAGTTCTCTTTTGACGGTTTCAGCCATAAGAAGGCAGTTTTATATAAAGGTTTTGGTTCAGATCCATCCATAAGGTATCCACCATACACGCCGGAGAAGGTAAAATTGTTGAGGGCCATTTTAGATGGTAGTATTTTTCATATTATTCTCGCTTTGCTTGGATGGTCTAAATAATGATGATATGCAAGGGAAATGTAAATGTAGTATAATGTTCTTGTTCACCCAGTCTCTGATATGTGTCCTGCTCCTGCATTTTTTTGGTAAGTTGGAGGGCCAGAGACTCAATCAATAACTGTGAATAAATTTATCAACAATCACTTGTGAGACAAGTGAAAAGAATTTTACAATAGTTATATATTTTCTAAATGATAATTTTCCTTATGCTGCAAGAATTATCCTGTCAAAGAAAACTACAGTATGTAAGAATCATGGCATCATGCATAGTGCGGATTAATCGTTGAGAAAAAGCAGGCCAAATTTGTAAGAGGAATATTTTCAAGAGGAGTAATGCCGAGTGGTATTAAACAAAGACAATCTCTTAACGCACCCTTGCACCTTCTTAGAGACCCTATGTTAGAGATTCTATGCGAAAAGTCTAAAATATCTATTGGCGGAGTTAGGAATTTTAGGCAGCCTGGGCAAACATTTTAACCGCAAGTTACATGTGACATAATATATAAATAGTCATAAAGCTGCCTCTGGTTTTTACTAATTTTGTCCCGGTTTTGTTTAAAAATTGGCTATTAGATTGAGGGAATACAAAGAAAATGTGATAACAGTGAAAACTACTATCAATCAATGAAAGACATGTATGTAATTAAAATATATTTTTATTTTTAAAATACTAATATGATATGGTAAATATAAGGATTTTGATTGGTTCTATGTGTAACATTGAACTAAGGGTTCTCCAATCTGTTTACATGATACGGAAAAATTCGACAAAAAGAAAGATTACTAGCCAATAAGAATTATGAAAAGAATAACAAAGGGTCTTTGCTAAACTCGTAAAAACTACGATTGAGATGAGTAATTTATCTTATAAAAGATCACTTCTAAATCAAAATTTTAATATTCCAAACTTCATTTCAGAAATAATTCCCATTCTTTGCTAACCATAGAATCCACAAAGTTGCAAATTCTTTACTCTCTTTCAACTTTTTTTATTTTTTACAAAAAGGATATCAATTTATAAAACTTGAAAGACATTCTTCCTCCGACCCAACCGGTTTTCCAATCCAAGAAGTTTTTTTTCCTCCAAACAACCGTCACCCCATTACATGTGAAAAAAGGGTGATCCCTATTTTCCAGATCAACGCTACAAAAAGAACACTTTAAATTATCTAAAGAGAAAGCAATACCTCTATACATCAATAAGTCATTTGTTGAAAGTCTATTGACAAAAAATCTCCAATCAAAAGCCTTAATTTTGAATGGAACATTCAACTTCCACACCAAATCGAACGCCAAATCAAACCTATTCAAAGAACCAAGGGAACTCATGAACTTGCATAATGATCATAACAAGAGCCACTGAGAAAACTCCGTCCGGGGAATACGACCAATTCACCGAATCCCCACCACTCGGACCCATACTGTACACGATAATCGTAGCGCGGAAAGCATAAAAAACAATCTATTGGTTAAGTTCAAGAAGGTCCACCAAAGCCAAGCCACAATCACCCCATTGCCACGATCCGTCTTTCCAACCACCCATACCCGCAACTGATACTTTTTTAAAATGCGAAGTCGAGTATAAATTCGAAAATTCCTCCTTCAAGCTATTATTCTCCAACCAAATTGCTTCTAAAAAAGGAGCATTGTAGCCTTTACCAATAGTATACCGACAATGGAACACAATAAGATCACTAGTAGAAAATTTTTCTAAGTTTGTGATATCCTTCCACCAAAAAGAAGAAGAAGAAAAATCTTTACAACTATCAACACCATAAAATACCTTCATAGAAATGTCATTGTAACGGGCTTTCAACATATTGTACCAAATAGCATCTTGACCTTGAAGAATTCTCCACCTCCATTTGTTAAGAAGAGCAAAGTTAAACTCCTCAATGTTTTTTATTCCAAGTCCCCCTTATTAAAAGAGAGACAAACACTCTTCCAACTCACCAAATGAATCTTTCTATTCTCTTCCACTTCTATGTTAACTGAAAATTTTGACTACATGAGTTTTAGTTAAATTAATACATATTTGATGATGTGATTCGAAGGAAAGAATAAAAGAGTCCATGAGAAGACTTTGATAAGTGAAGAGATAAAAGTGAAGCTTTAATTTTGCTAAGTGTTGACGAAAGGTCTGTATACGGACCATAGAGATATCAAGTTTATTCGAAGTATCAATCATATGCTTCGTCTGTCACATTTTGGTGCTTCAAAGATAAGGAGTTTCAAGTTCAAAAAGATTAATCTTATCTAAAGAGACGTGTGGAAGCTTGGAATTCAAATATACATGCAATTATTGAACGTGTCATCATATTATTTAGAGACCGTTTGATCGAAATTAGTATAAACAGGGGTCTTAGTGTTAAGATTCAGCGTGTTTATATCTTTTGTACAAATACTCAAATCACTCAAAGTACCAACGTTAAGAAAAAAGAGTTTGCGAGAATGTACGTATGATGCACTATTTTTATATTTATAGTCATTTGATTTTATTTGAAGTTTTATACATTCCATTTAAATTCCAGTCAAAAGCCTTTTACATTTCAGTTTTATCTTTAAAATATCATGTTACTGTCTGTGAAATAATAATTGAAATAAAATTTATCTAAAATAATGAAGATGTTGTTCAAAATACTGTCATAAGAACATAAACATTAAATAAGAACACTTGTACTTAGGATCAATCTGATTGATCCTGCAAGTTACTGTTTCTACAAATATTTGAAAGATTAGCAGTTATTTACCAAATTCTACGGTAAACAAATTGGCACACCTGGTGGGACCTTGTATTTAATTTCTTGTTTTTCTGGCAATTTTTCTTTTCCAGTCTAAAAAGTTCTTTGGAATTCTTCATTATCTTCTTGTATTTCACTGTGTTGTATGAAATTTAGGTGTGGTAAATTAGCCATAAACAACAAGGAAATACTCAAAAGAAAATACGTTATGAGAATGGCGAATCCAGGCCAGGCAGGAAATTACAATTCTCTTAACAATGATGAAGTGCCACCCCCAGTCACTTCGACAGGGGGAAATACGGTTGTAGCGCCTTCTTTTGAGGCCATATCATTGTTAACAAGTTTGTCGCCAACACAGTCGAATACTTACACGGGCCCTCTTTTAACTTGCATAGGCCCACATGATTCACAAGGAACCCCCCTCTAGGGGAAATATTTTTCATAGGCCTCAGGGGCCACTTAGTTTTTCCATGCCTCAGAATGGCTGTGAACGGCCTTACGACATACCATCTTCGTTTATGATGGGGTTACATAATTCTACTTCAACATATTCAGATTCTGTGATGAACGTGACTTTGCCATTACAAGGTTCTGGATCTGCGATTAATAACATGGGTCGAAATATTCAACCACCAACTGAAGGAGTTTCATCCCAAATACCAAACTTAACAAATCAATTTACAGGAGTGATTAGGCAGAAAATGGACGAGAGTAATCATGAAATGGTCCAGATGCTTGCACAAACTATGGGTACAATATTCAACCCTTTGATTCAGAACACCAGTCAAGTGAACCAACAGATGACAGTGCAAATGACGCGCATCGCTGACTTTTTTGGTGTACCCCAACCAACAACACATCCTCAGAGGGAGTGGGTTAGGGAAAACCAAGGGTTAGTCTTGGAAGAAGACCCAACAATTAACCAAGTTCAACAAAATCAAAGAAATCCACCTCAGGAAAATATGATGAATGAAGCAGGGGTAGTCGAAGTACCCAGGGTTGCGAATGTCGAAATACCTAGGGTTGAACCTTTTAGGCAGGAACCACACATTCTTAGGCAGCCATAACCTAGATTTATGATGAAGTTTTATATCAAGTTCAACAAAATAACACAGGAACATATTACAATCTAGAAGCCATGGTTGGAAGGATTATGGCACGAAATGGTGTGCGTGTAGGCCTTACTAGGCCAAACTATACTCCCCATTATCTGAATACATTTTACAAAGTGAATTTCCCGGAGGTTGGAAAGTCCTAAAGTTCACAAACTTCTCTGGTGATACCAGCGAATCAACTGTCGAACATATAGCCAGGTATCTTACCGAGGTTGGGGACATAGCGAACAGTGAGAACCTAAGGATAAAATATTTTCCTAGTTCACTAACCAAAAATGCTTTTACATGGTTTACTACCCTTGTAGCAGGTTCTATCCATGATTGGGCGCATTTAAAAAGACTATTCCATGGACAATTCTATGTAGGTCAATCGAAAGATAAGTCTTAGCGAATTGGCCAACATAAAGCGTAAGTTTAGTGAGCTAATTGATGATTACCTAAACAGATTCTGCCTGTTAAAAGAAAGATGTTTCACCCAGGTACCTGAACATGAATTAGTTAAAATGGTCGCGAGAGGATTAGATTTCTCCATCAAAAAGAGATTGGATCCCCATTACTTAAGAGATATGGCTCAATTGGCAGATAGGGTTCAACAAGTGGAACGCTTAAAAATTGAAAAGGCTAGAACAAACAAGAACTATAGGAAAGAAAGAGTTTCTTATGTAGAAACATCTATAGACAAACAAGAAATGTGTGGTGAAGTCTCGAACTTCAAAGAGGTCGAAGTTGATTTGGCTGAGTTAAAACAAGGACCACCATATCCTTGTAAAGTCCTGGCTCCTTCGAATGGCAAAAATTCGGTCGAACTTGACAAGAGTGATAAATTCCTTAAAAGAACTTATACTTTTGACGTCACAAAATGTGACAAAATATTTGACTTATTAATAAAAGATGGTCAAATAATAGTACAACCTGGTGCCAAATTCCTCTGTTAGATCAACGAAAGAGGAGAGGTTTTTGTGAATATCACAATTTTTTAGGTCATAAGACCTAATAATGTTTCCTTTTCAGGGATCTGATTCAAAATGAAATCAAAGAAGGAAGGACAAAGTTTGGTGACAAAACCAAGCCACAAATGAAGGTAGATGCTGACCCTCTAAACATGGCAGAAAAAACTAGGCCAAACCAGTTTCTATCAACATGG